GAACACATAATTTGTCCACTTGAAATCATTTCTTAAATGATCTGACTTCCAGTAATTCTAAGATACTTGTTTGTACATTAAGTATACTTAGATTATTAAATAAGCTTAATATATACACAGACTGTATATAGACTATATTTCACCACCGCATTCACTGCAACAATGTTCTGTTACTGCAGTCAAAAGCAAAATTGTCAACATAATATTATTATCAGGCTGCGTTATGGTCATTCCACATGATAACTGATTTACTTTTCCCAAAATGTTACATTTCCAGTCTAACAGCAATGCATACCCGAAGGCAGGGACGGAGGGAGGGAGGGAAGGAGTGGCTGTGGTAGTTGTGTCACAGAAGGTGCCAAGGTAGGGTGGGGCAAGGTAGTGGAGGTGCTTGAAAGTGAGGACAAGGATCTTGAATTTGACCCATTGGGAGATGGGGAGTCAGTGGAGCTGAATTGTGAATAGCAGCAGGGAATAAATTTAAAAAAACCCAGAAATGAACAAAATGGAATAAGGTAACGCTTACGTGCATGTTCATCTGGATTATAAAGAGGTGGGTTTGTCCTATTAGTTTCCACCACTGCAGAAACAGACCGTGCTTGCCACTGTGAATGCTCATTATCTTGTCTATTAATGTCTAACATTATATCACCATACAATGAGAAAACACTACAACTTTTGAGCTTAGACAACTCGGAGAATAAAGCAAATGTAAGAACTAGTTGTCATTGAATTAAAATAATAAAGTGAAAAGTGTTTCCCCACCCCTGTAAGGGTTCATTTATTTTCATGACCCTGCGGTGAAATGTTGACACAACTGTTGTACAATTAATCAAGGTTTATTAATTCAGATTAATAATGGTCATAAGTAATTAAAAGAATACATTCAATTATACTTACGTATCCACGTATACTGCAGTTCACAACGATTTAAGTTGACCAAACAAAATGCTACGGGAGAGATAGAGGAGCAATGTCCAATTTAATTTCCCATTTGAATCCAAATATAAGTCCTCAACAGGTATCCAAGTATTGTTGTACGGTTTCCAGTTCGATATCATCCAAAAGTATCCAGGTATTATTGTACGTTTAATGTTGTTTAAATCATAATCTTGATCCTCTTTCTTTAGATTCGCGATTTCAAGTCACAATTTCTTCCTTCTCTCTTTCTTTTTTGAATCGATCTCCGTTTATACTGCAGATTAAGTGACCTTTCATCTATTGTCTTTTGCAAGGTGTTTCCTTTGTAAAAACAAATACAACGTAGTTCTCTCCAGCTGAAGACGATTTTTCTATGAGAAAATGACTGATAAACAATGAAAACAGTTTATTGTTTATAAACAGTCTTTTGTTTCTCTTCCTTGAGCAAGGATCTTCTTTGAAGCTAGTCACAACTAGCTCCCTTTATATGAGATTGATCATATGTCTAAAATATATAAACATTGCAAATATAATTTGAGATATTATTTAACAGATTAATTACAGATATCCTATACCCCCATCCCATTACATTACATTTGCAGTCTGGAGGCAATCTAATTTCCTAAACATTATAAAAATCAATTTGTATAAACACATTGAAACAAGCTGCATTGCATTTTTTTTAAAAAAACAGGTATAATTTATACAGTTATCAAAATCAGAACGATGTAATTGGTTTACTGCAAATACTGCAGAGACAAGAGGGGAAAGTCTTGTCAGTTTCATACGACTATGCCGCAGCTTAAGCTCTCCGGGACGCCGTCAGGCGTGAAGGCCGCAATATAAATGCAAGTTGTTGTTATTGATGACTTAATGCTGCTGAGGGTAGATAACAGAGCACAGACCAGGCATCGATCCTCTGGAAGTTTGCACCACAAATAGTATTTAATCAGATTGTTTAAAATACGAGTGAAACTCACTCATTTTAATTTCATTATAGTCAGGCTTTATAAGTGAGTAAACAAATACAATAGATTTGGCTTACATCTACCATTCAAATTGTTATTTATAATAATGTATTGTATCTAAGGTCGCATGATTTATTTATCGTATTATCTAGGATCTTTTCTTCTGCACATATATATCTGTATATCTATGTACCTCCCACACATTTGTGACAAAAATTGCAAACCAGGAAACAAATATTTTCTGCAACTTTTCCAACATGTCCTTGGTTTGGGTTTGCAGTGAATGCTCTGAAAATGTGGGAGTTTAACAATACCCTATAACTGACTCTTTGCATTATCAAATTAGGAGAGCATTGTGTGGAGGTGAATTTGTTCTGATTTTGTAATTTGAACGTCCTTATAGAGTTTTTTTTGTTTTGAAAAAGTCCAATCAGTTAGTTGTAATTCATTATTGCACCAAATTGGATATTCATGCATAGAGCTATGAATGTGTCTGTTTTATTATTTATATGCTTAAATTACAATGGGATATTTAAATTTATTCTTGATGAATTTCTCGATGACAAATAGAGACATATGTATTATCCTCCGGGTGTAAAAAAAATTCTCTTCATCTCCCCTCTGGTTCTTTTGCCAATTATCTTAAATATATGTGCCCTGGTTACTGACCCACTGACCAGTGGAAACATTTTCTCCCTATCTACTCTATCAAAACCCCTCATAATATTGAACATCTCTGTTAAATCTCCCCTTAAGTCCTGTGGAGTCCGGTAGCTCAGTGGTTAGAGCACTCGCTTTGCAAGTAAGAGACCTGAGTTCAATTCCAGGCAGAGGGCGAAACCTTGGGCAAGTTTCCTTACTCCACACAGAGCCTAATAATAATCCCTCCAAAACCAATAATAAATTGGTCATTTTCAATCTACGACTGTTTGCGGGACATTGCTGTGTGCAAATCGCTGCCGCGTTTGCCCACAAATATATACAGTCAATTCACTTTACAGTGTGTTCTGTGAAGCGTTTTGGGACGTCCTCCCGACGTGAAAAGCGCTATATCAAATGCAAAGATTATTATTAATCTGAGGAGAATGATCCCAGCTTCTCTAATCTCTCCACATAACTAAAGTCCCTCATCCCTGGTAAATCTCCTGTGCACCCTCTCCAAGTCCTTAATATCCTTCCTAACGTGTGGTACCCAGAATTGGACACAAAAATCCAGCTGATGCCTAACCATGACTTATGTTTAGCAGAACTGCCTTGGTCTTGTACTCTATACCTCTATTATAAGCCAAGGATCTCATATGCTTTTTAAATAGCTCTATCAACCTGTCCTGCACCTTCAAAGACTTGTGTATGTGAACCCCCAGGTCTCTCTGCTCCTGAACCCTTTAAAACTTTACAATTTAGTGTATATTGTCTCACCTCACATTTCTCTGCATTAAACTTCATCTGCCAGGTATTCCCCTATTTCATCAGTCTACCTATGTCCTCCTGCAGGTCTGCTACCATCCTCTTCACTGTTTATTATGTTTAGTGTCAATTTATGTATATCAACAAGAGCAGTGGACCTAATACCGACCCCTGGGAGACACCACTGTATACTTGCCTCCAGGGAAGACCATTTATTACTTTTTGTCCCCCAGTCAATTTCATATCCATGCTGCCACTGTCCCTTTTATCCCATGGGCTTCAATTTTGCTAACTAGTCTATTATGTGTACCTTATCAAATGCCTTCTGAAAGTCCATATACACTACATCAAATGCACTACCTTCATTAATCCTCCCCGTTATTTCATCAAAGACCTCAATTAAGTTTGTCAGACATGATTTGCCTTTCACAAATCCATGTTGACTGTCATTAATTAACTTGTTTTTTCCAGGTGAAAATTTATTTTGTCCCAGATTATGGTCTCTAGAAGTTTCCCCACCACCGATGTTGGGCTGACTGGCCTGTAGTTACCAGGTTTATCCTTCTCCCTTTTTTGAACAGGGGTGGAACATTTGCAACGTTCCAGTCCTCAGGCACTACTCCCAAATCCAAGGAGGAATGAAAGATTGTGGCCAGAGCATCCATTATTTCCACCCTAACTTTCCTCAGCAACCTAGGATGGATCCCATCCAGACTAGGTGACTTTTCTACTTTCTACTGCAATTTCCAACAATAAAAAAAACTACCCCAAGGCTGCCCTAGACCCAGAGACAAGAGCGCCACCTGTTAACCAGGCTGACACATAAATGGATCCTGGGACTCGCTGTAGATGTGTAATAGTGTAACTCCATACACAACTCCTTTTGATCCAAAGCCACATTACTCCACTTTAGTGACTCTGGTATCAAATGGAGTCCTGTAGCTCAGTGGTTAGAGCACTCGCTTTGCAAGCAAGAGACCTGGGTTCGATTCCCAGTAGGGTGAAGCCTTGGGCAAGTTTCCTTATTCCACACACCTGATAATAATCCCTCAAATAAACAATAATAAATTGGTCATTTCAATCCACGACTGTTTGTGGGACACTGCTGTGCACAATTGGCTGCTGCATTTCACCCACAAATATACAGTCAATTCACTTTACAATATATTCTGTGAAGCGCTTTGAGACGTCTAGAAAACTTGAAAAGCGCTATATCAAATGCAAGGATTATTATTATTAGTAGTAGTAGTAGTTGTATTATTAAATGGTACTGCTGGTCTGTCTGTAGTCTCACTCCATTTCCAGCCAGTTTGACCACAGTGCTGTTTTTTTTCTCTGCTAATGTCCTGGTCAATTTTATCACTCCCTCAGTAGCTTTCTCACCGTTGGCTTAACTTTGAATGCTATTAATCTCTCTTATTCTCATCACTTGCTCACATAGCTTAGTGTCATCGGAAAATGTTAAATAAGAAGCAATCTCTGCTAAACTATTTATGATAGTGTGGAGGCCTTTGCTTTCCCTTCAGCATCACCTCCTGCTTTTATTGTTAAACCATTTCTGAATGTAGGTTTGGTTGATTAACTTACTGGTAATTTCTTGAGCCTTATCATTTCGTGCGTGAGCCTGGCTTAGTTGTAGCACTTTCACTTCTGAGTCCGAAGGTTGATAGTTCAAACCCTATATTGGGACTTTGAACTCAAAGCCTAGGATTACAGTCCAACGAAATGTTGGTGGGTGCTACAATATTGGAGTTGGCAAGCTTCTGATCGAGGTGAGACGTTAAACTGGGGAAACCCAACTGTTCAGATTTTAAAGATCCCTTGGCCTTCTCAAAAAGAGAAAGAAGGGGACCCGAGCAGGAGGGAAATGGTCAGGATGAGGGGAGGGAAGGGAGGGAGGGAGCGAGGAGGGGAGGGAAGGGAGGGAGGTAGCGAGGAGGGGGTAGAGAGTCGAGAGGGGAGCTGAAGGCACAGTTGAAGAGAAAGGTCTTGAGACTGGCCTTGAAGGAGGAAAGGGAGGAGGCGGCGAAGGCACTGGGGGATGGAGTTCCAGTGCCTGGGGGCTGAGAGGCTGAAGGCCCGGCCACCGATGGTAGGACGGTTGGGGCGGGGGATGTTGAGCAGACCGGAGCCAGAGGAACGGAGGGTATGGGCAGGTACGTGGGGGGATAGTAGGTCGGAGAGGTAGGAGTGTGCAAGGCCGTGAATGGCCTTGTAGGCGAGGATGAGGATCTTGAATTCGATCCTCTGGGGGATGGGGAGCCAGTGGAGGCGAGCGAGGGTGGGAGTGATGTGGTCCCGAAGCCTGGTGCGGGACAGTACACGAGCTGCAGAGTTCTGAATGACCTGCAGTGTGGAGGGAGGTGGCGGGAAGGCCGGCGAGGAGAGAGTTCCCATAGTCCAGCCTTGAGGTGATGAAGGCGTGGACCAGAGTTTCAGCAGCGTGAGGGGTGAGGTAGTGCTGTAGTCTGGCGATGTTCCGGAAGTGGTGGAAGGCAATGCCAGTTGTGGTGCGGATGTGGGGAAGAAAGGACAGCTCAGGGTCGAACAGAACGCCGAGGTTCCTGACTGGCTTTGAGAGGTGGAGAGTGCAGCCTTGGATGCTGGTATAGTAGTTTTTGTTGTTACGAAGTTAACTTAGTCTGAATGTGATCTTATGTTCCACTATTATGCCATACTATAGAATTACCTTTCATTTCTGTATGATATTTGTTTTCTCTCTGTTTCACATTACCTGGTCAAGGAAATGGGCTGGTAACCTGCTCCCAAGGCAGTACCTACACCATTTCCTCTTCCTCTCTGTGGGACAGGGGAGGGAAAGAGAAGGGCATCTTGACTGCTTGATATAGGTACATTATCAATCCCAGGCAAATGCATTGCAGATATTAGAGTTCTGCGTGTACGTAGACAAAATATTGCCTCTTCCAGACAAAATATTGCCTCTTTTAAGATGACTGGAGCAATTACCAGCATTTGTTGAGTAAAGCAGAAAAATTGTAGCAGAAAAGCTGTAGGTGTTAAATACTGTTTAAAAGGTTAATATAATTATATGGCCTGAATCATTCCTAAAAGGCCAAGTTCTTTACAACAAATGTCGTTGTGCATTCATCTTTCAGACAAATGACCCTGTTCAGGCTTGTGTGGGTTTGAGAACATTCCGTGCATAGAAATTTATTTTATAAATTTACAACACAGAAGAAGAATATTCAGTCCATCATGCAGCAGTCATTTATTAACACCTAGTAGGATTCAGTTCTAGTATTTCTATGGATTATAAACAAATTAATTATGTAAATTACCTTTTCTTTTATTTGGTTTTTCGTGGTTTGAGGAATCTCTGGAAGTGTCTGCAGTAAAACACATAAAGCAACGGATCCAAGAAGTGTACTGACGACAGGCCTGAGAGATTTCCTGGATCTTATAAGGTTGTAGAACGTGGAATAGAATGAGTTTATCAAACTGGAAGACAAAGGCAGTTCCTGCATATAACTCTTTAAGCCACAGAGGACAGTAAAGCATTGGTGATGTTAAGTCAAGTTAACATTGCTGTGCACAAATTGGCTACCATGCTTGACTAAAAAATACACAACTAAAATACTTTAAATTATACCCTGTGAAGCTTTTTGTGACAGCCTCCTGCTGTAACAAATGCAAAGATTATTATTGTTATTATAACCCTAGTTATACAGTAGAAATTGCCAATAATAATAATGATGATTCTAATTATCACATTGAATATGATGAGTAGATTTTCAGTCCATAATTATAAGCCCTGCAATTATGGCACAATGATTTGTTGAAAATTATTTGACTGCCATCTTTGATCTGGTCTGAGTGAGTGAGCCCAGCCAGCGAACGAGCGAGTGAGTGTAGATTTAAAATACTTTTTTTATGAGCTCAAAGGTACAACCAGAATGCTGCTTTAAAGGATACCGCTTGAGTTAAGCCGGGTTAGGATTTCTCCAGGCTGTTTAATTGTAGGGAACAACTCATCCAAGTCCAGTGCTTTCCTCACTTCTCATGTCAACACCTGCCCTTTCCAACAAAAAGAAAGAATGTATTTGCATCTTTATTGCCCACCTCCATCCATACCTCACAATAAAAGCAGCCAAAACCCTCATCCACGTCTTTGTCACTTCCCGGCTGGACTATTCCAATGTCCTCTTCGCTACTCTCCCCAGCTCCACAATACACAAAATTCAATTAATTCCGAACTCCTCTGCTCGGATACTCGCCCGCACAAAACTCCATACCCCCATCGCACTAGTCCTTGCCAGGTTCAATTATTGAACGGAACAATTTCAAGATCCTCTCACTTATTTTCAAATCCCTCCGTGCCCTCACACCTGCTCAACCCCCATTCCACCACCCGCTGCCTCGGCTCGCCTGGCTCTGGCCTACTGTCGCCCCTCGTCCCCTCCGTTGCACATTGGTGGCCGTGCCTTCAGCTACCACCCCCCGAAACTTTGGAACTCTCTCCCTCAATCCTTCCGCCTTGCCCCCTCTCCACTTTCAAATCCCTAAAGACCTTCCTTTTTGATCGTGCTTATGGTCACCTCCCCCCCTCTCTCCCCCTTGCCCAGGGTCAGACTCCGCCACGGTCAAATGCTCCAGGACGCCACCCAGTGTAAATGGCGCTTTATAAATACAAGTTGTTGTTGTTGATACAGTATCTTTTTACATCAAAACATCTCAAAGTGTTTTAGAGTATTTTACTGTCGCATGTACTGACAGTTTGGTAAGCAAAGGTGCTGGCCACAAATAGAATTCAGGTGAATGGCTGATTTAATCTGGGTGCTTTGTTTAGGATACCAGGAAAACCTCCTTTCTCTTTTCAAATCGTGCTGTGGGACCTTTAATGTTCTCCTGAACAGGGAAACTTGGTTTACCATCAAACTGAAGAATTGCATCTACAACACTGCAGCTCCCGCAGCCTTACTTCATAAGAAAGATCAGCTTAGAAGCATCCTATTATGCTTCTAATTGTGGAGTCTCGTAGAATACTGGTTAGCCTTTGCAAGCAAGGGGATCCGGGTTTGATTCCTTTAGGTATATTTCCTTATTCCACACTCCTGTTTACCTAGAATTAAGTAGGAACTTGGTTATTAGTCAAATGGTGAATCGCTTTCCAGCGGTAATAATCCCACCCCAAAAAAAAGGTCACTACTTATAGGTTGTATAATGTCCAATGTCTTGGGATGGCCTCCCAATGCGAAAGGCCCTATACCTACCAGTAAGTAGGAACTCAGGTGTTAGTCAATTGGTGGATCGCTTTTCAGGGGGCAATAATTGCTTCAAAAAAATAATAATTTGGTCACTCAATCCATGACTGTTTGTGGGGCACTGCTGTGCGCAATTGGCTGCCGCGTTTCATCCACAAAATATACAATCAACTCACTTTACAGTATATTCTGTGAAGCGCTTTGGGACGTCCTCCCGACGTGAAAAGCGCTATATCAAATGCAAGGATTATTATTATTATTATAACGAAAGTGTCAAATCAAAATAATATTGAAAGGGACATGACAAGGTACAGCAGTAGAGCAAGTTATATCACAGGTGCTGCTATAGAAACCCAATCAATCAAAAACAGTTTGACAAAGTAATATATACTAATCATACAGCACCAAAAGGCCTCTCTCGGCATAGCCATCATACTCAATACTTGTTCTCTACAAGTAGAAATTCAGAAAGTGTACTGATATAAAAATTCTGCTTCTTCCAGCTAGTAACTGTTAAAATGATCAGAGCTTTCTATTTTTGTCTTCATGTAATTGATGGGATAAACCAACAAAAATACCCAGTAGCAGTGACGTTATGTACACAATGACCGAAAAGACAACTTCTGCCCACTCTGCCTTCCTTGGAGAGGAAGTAAGCAGGGTCTTTTGGGGGCTGTGTTGGCTCCAAAGCAACCTGCTCGGCCATGGTTCCTGAGCCAGGCAGGCCTGTAGCACTGGGTTTAGAAAGCTCGCAGGCTGGCTTGTTGGCAGGACTTGGAGGACCAAACTGGGCACTGGGGCAGGCATTCATCTCACTTAGCTCCTGTAAACACTGCAAGTCAAAACCCCAACAAGCAGGGTGGTCTTAGCTAGGAAAGCAGATGGAAACTTGCCAGACTGTTCACAATGGCAAGCAGTGTGGTTTTAGCTGGTTAAACTCCAGCAATACCCTCTGTGCACACTTTGAGGTTCCCAAGCCCTTGCTCTCTTCAACCTGGGCTTAATGCTTTCCTGAATTCAGTAAGATGGGTGCATCCCTCCAGTGAGAGAGTGCGCATTACATTCCATGCGTGGAAATTTCCATTTGTAGTCGGCATACATACATGGAATGCTGAGGCTGATTGGGATACTCTTATGGATGTTGATAGGTTTCCACATGTAACACCCGGCTGATCGAAAAAAAAGTGTCTCCCAGTAGGTCTCCACAGAAACTAGTAATAATAATAATAATCCTTGCATTTGATATAGTGCCTTATCATGTCTTCGAGACATCTCAAAGCGCTTCACAGAATATACTGTAAAATGAATTGTCTGTATATTTGTGGGCGAAATGCAGCAACCAATTGTGCACAGCAATGTTTCACAAACAGTCATGGATTGAAGTGACCAATTTATTATGTGCTGTGAACATACCGGTACCCCTTGTAACTAATGTGGAATTTACCCTATATTGTGAGACAGCTGTAAAAACTCAACAATTATTCAGTTATTCCTGTGTGTCATTGATTTAGGTGGGACTGTCTGGCACACAGTAACTTCTTGTTCCTGTAAATGCACCAGCTTGTTCTCAAAAGAGTGAGTGTGGGAATGATTGGGCAAACCTTGAATATTTCTAGTCATCTTTTCTGGAACCTTATTGCAAACCACGAAACATTGTTTCCGGGTAACTACTGGTTTGTTTCTTCAGGGTATTTCCAAAACATTTTGTGAATGTCATTTTCTTTTTTTGTCTTTTTTAAGTCATGTCACATAATGATAATACTTGCATTTGATGTAGCACCTTATCACATCTTCGAGACGGCTCAAAGAGCTTCACAGAATATACTGTAAAGTGAATTGACTGTATATTTTGTGGGCAAAACATTCTAGTGAATATTCACTTCTAGTGAAGATAGGAGGTCAGCTGCTCCCAAGGTTCCACACACTCTGCTCTGTAACTGACCAAAGGGAGCATTATGGAGTCCTGTAGCTCAGTGGTAAAAGCTCTCGCCTCACAAGCGAGAGACCTGGGTTCGACTCCCGGGTAGGGCGAAATATTGGGCAAGTTTCCTTACTCCACAACCACTGTTTACCTCGCAGTAAGTAGGAACCTGGTTGTTAGTCATTCGCAGATCATTTTTCCAGGGATATCTCGAAGACGTGATAAGGCGCTATATCAAATGCAAGGATTATTATTAGTATTATTATATTATGCTGCATGTTCATTTGTCCTCTAATCATTTTATATTCTCCTTCTTTCTTACCCCCCACCACCCGTGCAGCCATTCTACAATATACATTATACCATATTTCCCCCCTGAGGCATAGAACATGTGTATACAATAAGATGGATATACCTTAGGTAATTGGACAGGGTGATTATTATGAATAATATTTTGTATATTATCATTTTGATAGAATTTCAGAAGGGGGGGGTATATTTACATTTCACTTACCCTATATCTATTTCTCACTATTATTCTATAATTGCCAAATACAGAATGTGAGAAAAAATTATTTAGGACACATTTCCTGTAAGCATTATCAGGAAATTTATCATTGAACCTTTTACAGAATAACTTGCATTTATGTGCATTTATAAAGCACCTTTCATGTGGGGTAGCATCTCAGAGTACTTGAATTAAAAACAAAGGTCTTTACTATATCGCCTCTTACACAATAATATAAAGTCTTCACTATATCATCTCCTACACAATAAAAATATAAGGTCTTCACTAAATCAAGTCTTACATAATTAAAAATATAAAGTCTGCACTATATCACCTATTACACAAAAAAGTATGTTATTCACTAAATCACCTCTAACACAATAAAAATATAAGCTTTTCACTGTATCACTTCTTACAATAATATAGTCTTCACTAAATCAATTTAGAGAAAGTTACAAGGCAACCCCTCCTCCATCCCTTGCCAAAACGTTATTCAAAGGTTTTATGAAGGATATATTATGATTTCTCAATATTCAAGAGGCCTCATCTGATACCAGGACAGGTAAACCAAATAGGCAAAGACAACAGGCAAAGAGGAGGAATTCTGGTGCTTCTATCAAGAAACATCAAAATATTTTCCCAAGCTGCTTGATGTGTTCTTTATTCCAGTACTACATAATCCACTCCACATTGTAAAGATTACCTATATCATTGTAGCTTTCTTAAGAAAAATAAGGTCAATATTGCATAAAAGGAGGAAAGATGTGGTCTAAGATATATTCTTTAAACTGCTCCATTCAGGTGCTTACAGTGCAGAAGCTGCTGGACCTTGTGGAAACATCCTTCAGCCTCTACCATATAGTTTTAACCTACAAATGTTCTCTCAGGTACTGAATGAAAAATGTGCATCTTCTCTTTGAATGTTTATTAAAAGCGCTGCAACATGACAAAAAGCACTCAGCGGAAATTTTGTGGAACAATTCTATGTTTAGAGTTTATTCCATTTCCTAACAAGTCACCATCAAGAGAATTGCAGAGAGACAAACTGGTTTGATTCTTCCACACAAAGAATTGATTACCCTTAAAAGAAATATACCTAAGCTTAACCTAAAGGCAATAATTATCTCCAGACCCGAATATACCACTTGTCTTCTTCTAGTATTGAAACAGACCCTTGTGTAGCAAATCCTTATTGCAAATCATGCGTTGAGCTAATTTTTGCCTGAATGAAGAGTTTATTATCTCATTTTATTGCTGTAATATTTTCATATCATCAACTTGTTTTTCCAAAACGTATAAACCACAAATTGTATGGTTTCAGATCCTGACGCTCAAAGTCTCTTGATTTTAACATTGCCTTAAAATGTAAAGATTGTGCCATAGATCAGAAAATTTGTATATTTCAGTCTTAATTTTGGCTGGGATGCCCCCCCATTGTCACACAGCCTCCGAGATCTTACCCTCCAGGCTCACACTTGAGGAATGGTGACTAGCGTGATGGACTGAATGGCATGCCACCACGAGTGAGTTTTGTCAGCAGAGATTAAAAACTGACAAAAATAGCTGTGAAAATAGCAAGATCACACATGATATGATCAAATTGTGGACAGTGGGCATGATGGTGTATAAGAAACCCTTATGCCTAAAGCTGACCCAAGAGCCAACAGCTTTCGTCTCACTTCTTCAGTTCTAACAAGAACTCAGTAGTTGCCAATGTTTTGTGAGATTGTGTTACTGTAAAGTGAATTCCCTGGAGTAACCCTTTACATCACCGGTTCATTTTCCAGTGGCTACACAACATTGACATTGCTAATGTGGCTTATAGTTGCAAACTTTTGACGTGAAAGGTGCTTTACAAATGTAATTTTGTTGTAAAGAAAATAAATGTTTTATTTTAGTTTTGTTCAGAAAAATAAGTCAATTTTGTACCAAAACCAATCCTACACTTAAGTATGGTATGACTAACCTTTGGAGATAACACAGTTAATTCTCACTCACAACTGCATATCTGCATTGAATTTATTTTGGTATAGACAGGACTGTGGATATAAACATTCTTTATTATGATTTCATTTTGCAGGCTCTGCAACCTCACCACTTTGTCCCAAGCGATGGACCCTGTGCACCTGGATGGCACGCGCCCCCTTATCCATTGTGTCCTCCAGCATCACCATATGCCCCATATCCAACATATCCACCAAATCCAGTTTATGGTCCCTCACAAAACATCAGCTATCAATCTGTTGTTTCATCAGCACTGCTTACCTGCCAAAATGCTATAGCTCCACCTCTTCCTCAAGCTTCATTTTATGCATTAACCTGCCAAAACCTGCTCCAACTTACTTTGCCGGTCGCTCACTCCAGATGGTTTATGTGCCGTTAAGATCTGTCCCATTAAGTTGGGCGCAAGCAGACCGTGGGTCAACTACAAAAGTGAAACAACGGTCTTCAAAGCACACCATCACTAAAATTGCAGCTAAGGCCTTTTCCAATATTCTGGATATCGGTGAAATTGGAACTGATGCATTTGGCAATATTTTGGGCACTCCCACCATCGGTGAGATTACAACTGATGCCTTTTCTGACATTCTGGTCAATGTATTTAATGCAATGTAAAACAGTAAGGTATGAAACACGTTTTTCTTTTTTCAATATCTGATCATTATTGTTGTGGGACATTAACAAAGATCTCAGAGATGGTGTGGGGCAAGACTGGAGAGTTTTTTTTTTAGCTGGGTGTCTGACACATGCGGAAAGCCATCACCATACTTAAGAGTATCCAAACCAAACTGAGAATTCTGTGCATCCCACCTATACAAGGAAGTTCCCATATATTAGAATGGAATGCACACTTATTATTAGAATTATTAGTAGTTTTATAATTAAAAAATCTACTTTGACTAAAAGCCAATATTGGCAATTTTTTCTCAATACTACGACTACCTCTTATCTTATTGTTATTATTTGTAATTACTGCATTTGATATAGCACCTTACCACATCCTTGAAACGTCTCAAAGTGCTCCATGAGATTTACTGTAAAGTGTAGTTACTGTGTATTTGTAGGCAAACTTGGCAGACAATTTGCACACAGAAATATCCCACAAACATGAAGTGAATCACCAATTTTATTTGAGGCTTTGGCCAGGACACAGGGATCTTTAATGTTCAACTCAACAGCCCTTGTCATACTATTAAGAATTATGTCTCCTTGTTTTGATCCTTTTAGCAGAGTGGTATAGCTACCTAACATGTTAATTCCCTTCATTACTTTAAACACCTTAATCATATCACCCCTTAACCTTCTCAATGCTGAGGAATTCTGCCCAGCATCTCATCATAGTTTAGCCCCTTTTATCTCAGGTATTAATCTAAATTTCAGTGGTGAAAGCGCTTGCCTCACAAGCGAGAGACCTGGGTTCAATTGCCAGGAGGCGAAACTTTGGGCAAGCTTCTTTACTCCACACAGCTCTGTTTACCTAGTAGTAAGCAGGAATCCGGTCATTAGCCGATTGGGACTGTTTGTGGAACTCTGCTGTGCACAATTGGCTGCCACATTTTTCCCACAAAATATACAGTCAATTCACTTTACAGTATATTCTGTGAAGCACTTTGAGACATCTGAAAGACTGATGGGGAGGAGGGGGCGATGTGCGGGGGATAATAATAATAATAATAATAATAATCCTTGCATTTGATATAGCGCTTTTCACGTCGGGAGGACGTCCCAAAGCGCTTCACAGAACACACTGTAACGTGAATTGACTGTATATTTGTGGGCGAACGCGGCAGCCAATTGCGCACAGCAATGTCCCACAAACAGTCGTATATTGAAAATGACCAATTTATTATTGTTTTTGGTTTTGGAGGGATTATTATTAGGCGTGTGGAGTAAGGAAACTTGCCCAAGGTTTCGCCCTCTGCCTGGAATTGAACTCAGGTCTCTCGCTTGCAAAGCGAGTGCTCTAACCACTGAGCTACAGGACTCCACAGGGATGGGATAAAAGATCTTATATGATGGCCCTACATACAACAAAGTACAACAACAAAATTACATTTGTATAGTGCCTTTCAAGTCGGGAGGACGTCCCAAGGCGCTGGACAGTCAGCATTTCGGTCCCGAGCTGGGGGTTGGGATTGGGAAACAGGGTAATCGAAAGCATGGTCGAATAGGAGGATCTTGAGATGGGTCTTGAAGGAGGCAAGGGAGGGGGCAAGGCAGAGGGAGTGTATGGTGGAGTTCCAGAGGGTAGGGGCAAAGTGGCAGAAGGCCCGCCCACTGATGGTGGAGCAGGCAAGGCAGAGGATGTGAACCAGGCAGGAGCCCACTGAGCGGAGGGAGCAAGCAGGGTAGTAGGAGGTTAGGAGGTTGCAGGGTTAGTGGGGAGCAAGGCCATGGAGGGCTTTGAAGGTGAGGACTAGGATCTTGAACTGTATCTCCTGAGTGATGGGAATCCAGTGGAGTCGGGCGAGGATGGGTGTGATAGGGTCACGGCTCCTAGTGCAGGAGAGGACACGGGCTGCAGAGTTCTGGATGATCTGCAGTCTATGGAGGGAGGAGTTGGGGAGGCCGACAAGCAAGGAGTTTCATAGTCAAGCCTTGATGTTACAAATGTGTGTATGAGGGTTTCGGTGGCCTGCGGTGTGAGACAATATCGGAGCTAAGTGACGTTGCAGAGGTGGGGGAAGGCAGAGCAGGTCATGGCGCAGTTGTGGGGTAGAAAGGATAGTTGAGGGTCAAACAAGACCCCAAGGTTCCAGACTGGCTTAGTGAGGTGGAGTGTGCAACTGTGGATGGTGATGCTGTCAGCGCCTGAGGTGAGGAGGCACTGACGGGAGCCAATCAGGAGAGCCTCGGTTTTGTTGACGTTCAACTGAAGAAAGTTCGCTCTCATCCAGGACTTGATGTCTGACAGACATTCTCTCAGCACAGCAGTGGTCCTGGAGTCGAGGGTGGAGGCAGAGAGGTAGAGTTGGGTGTCATCCGCATACATGTGGAAGTTGACCCCATGTCTACAGATGATGTCACCAAGAGGGAGCATATAGATATTGAAGAGGAGGGACCAAGGACAGAGCCCTGAGGAACACCGCACGAGATAGTGAGGGGGCTAGAGGAGAAACCTTTTGTGGAGATGAAGTGTCGGAGATGTGAGAGGTACGATCTGACCCATTCAAGGACAGAACCATGCAGGTTGAGGTGAGAGGAGAGGCAGTAGATGAGGATAGAGTGGTCAACATTGTTGAAAGTAGCAGAGAGGTCAAGGAGGACGAGGAGGCAGAGGGAGCTCCTGGTCATGGATGGACAGAATGTCATTTGTCACTTTGACCACAGGGCTATTTCTGTGCTGTGGGCGGCACTGAAACCTGATTGGAGGGGTTTGTGAAGGGTGTGGCGGGAGAGGAAGGAGCGAAGCTGGGAAACAATGACTCATAGTACAGCAGATTAACAGAGACCTGGTTATCTTTCAGAGCCACGGTGTAACAGTTGACAATTGTAATCAATGGAGGGGAAGTGGACGTATACAAGTAGATGAAAATGGAAAGTCTCTTCGAGTATGCAGAACAACAACAACAACAATAACTGACATTTATATAGCAGCCTTTTGATGCTTCCCAACATAAATAGCACTATATAAATGTAAATTTATATTGTACATTATTGTATTCATGTGGGGTTCAAGTTCTCCCATGAAAATGTTGAATGTTCTTTTATAATGCTAGACCTCCTGCTATATAAAACGTTTAGTTTAGCCGAACATTGAGCCATCAAACTCCTTCATTAAAATGAAATGCTTCAAAGTATTTTCATATAAATATAGACTACAATTGTCAATAAGGCATTTTTGCACAGCTGGTAATAATTGTAAATCATCACAACAATAAAATCCTCATTTAAAAACATTAAACATAGTTGCTTTCATATATATTATCCTCAATAAATCTCTTTAATTATTTGATAGCTTCTTAATTGGCGTTTAATTATGGTACTTTTAAATAAATGTATTCTGTTGGTACAAGATGCAACTGTGAACTCCTTTTCTGATTATAGATTCTATTGGAGTGCAGGGCAGTGATTTCTTTATTCTTAGAGAATTTTAAAAATGATATACATACACAATCCTCAGGGTTTACAATAAGTTAGATAAATAAGTCAACTATTTACTAGACAAATATTAATTGGGTGAATGGGAGAATGAACGGTCATAGGAAATTTGGGGCATTTCATAATGAGTTCCTCGTTATATTTTCCCCCTATATGAATACATATATTAATAACATAATTGTGAATTCTGTGAAATTCTATGAATAATTCAATAAATGTTGCATCTGTACAGTAACTGGGAAGAATGCTCAACAATAAACTGATGATGTAACAGTGATTGAATTAAAGCATCTAACAATATGTGTTTACCTTCCATGATCTTTCTATTACTATTGCTTTAGTTTTAATAATAATAATCCTTGCATTTGATATATGGCCTTTTTACATCATTGAGACGTCTCAAAGCGCTTCACAGGATGTACTGTAAAGTGAATTGGTTGTATATTTGTGGGCGAAACTCGGCAGCCAATTGCGCACAGCAATATCCCACAAACAGCCATGGAGTGAGTGATCAATTTTATTCTATTTGGGGGCGGATTGTTAGCCAAAACAATGGGAGAAACTCCGTAGTCTTTTCAAATCGCCATGGAATTTTTAACATCCACCTGAAAAGGCTGATGGCACCTCGGTTTAACGCCTCATCCGAAGTATGGCACCTCCGACAATGAAACACACCCCCAACACTGCATTGAAATATCAGCTTACACAATGTGAATCCAAGTCCTGATGTGACGCTTAAACTCACAACCTACTGACTAAGAGGTGAGAGTGCTACCATTGCGCCAAACTGACACACAGACCATTACCGCCATTACCGTGAACGTGATCCACCAATCGATTAACAACCGGGTTCCTACTTACTACTTGGTAAACAGAGGCATGTGGAGTAAGGAAACCTGCGTAAAGTTTCGCCCACCTGGAAATCGAATACGGGTCTTCTTGCTTGCAAGGCAAGCACACTAACCACTGTGCTTTGGGCCTTCGAATATAGATTGATTGATTTTTTTTGATTGAATTTAATTTAAAGGATGTCTTGTCACAAGAGGAAGATTTGCAATCTTACTCTTGATGTAGTGAGTTCCTGATCTGTCAGATTGTCAGAAATGAGCACCTTCATAACTCTTAAGTCAATCTGCACTTGTTTCACACATTTCAAGCAGGTGCCTTAAGAGCATCTCAAGTCATCAGTCAGGGAAGAAGTAGTTGGACAAGGTTTACATTTGTGATCCTCCATTTGATAAGTAAAGGAACTCAGCAACAGTACTGTGGAAAAATAACAACAATTTGCACTTCAGTAGTACCTTTCATATAGGATGTATGTTTCAAAGCAATTCACAATGACAATGAAGATCTCTAAGCAGGGAGAAAAGGAGGGGGGATTTAAGATGAACAATGTCAAGCGGAGAGGAAGGGGGTAGGTGGTGGGAGAAAGAGGGACAGTTGCCTCTCCATAGTGCAGGAGGGGAATAGAAAGAAAACCAATCATTTAGGGGAAAACCACCTCCCTGTCTTGAAATGTTACATATAGAAAAGTCAAAGAAGAACCTCTTTGAGGTTCATACACTAAAGCTTTTCAGTAGTGTTCACATGATAGCATTGAGGAGCCAGAACTTTGATTAGACATAATCCCAATGATTTAAATGGAACAAAAGAAAACAACTCCTTATTTTTATATGTTGAGAGAGCTTCTGAGTCGAGATGTCATTTTCACCTTCTCAGACATGGAATTCAGGCAAGTACAGGTGGGTAACTTCATTACTTTAAACTGGCAGTTACCCCACCCCCCCACTCAACATGCATACACACCTGTATGTGTGAGATCTGCAAACTGAATAATTCAGAATGCCCTTGGTGAGATTTAACATTCCTAAATATAACCGCAACTCCTCCGCTCCACCATTGGTGGTTGTGCCTTCAGCCACTACAGCCCTAATCCCTGGAACTCCCAGCCTGAATCCCTCTGTCTCGCCACCCCTTTATCTAGCTTTAAATCTCTCTCACCTAAAAACTTACCTCTTTGACCAATGGTGGAGCGGAGGAGTGAGGGACACACAACAGACCAATGCTAGGCTCCGAGATGCTACCCCACGTGAAGGGCACTATATAAATGCAAGTTGTTGTTAACTAAGCAAAGGGGGTGGGCAGAGGAGTTGGATATGAGCAGGGTAGAGAGGCAGGGAGTTGTTAGGATATGAAGGGATTTGTATGTGAGGATGAGGTATCTTGAAGCTAATCCATTCTGAGAGAGGGAGCCAATGGAGCCTGGCAAAGATTGGGGTTGCAGTTTAGTGTGGATGAGAATGTGGACAGGGGAGGTTTGTATTAGCTGGACCTTAATAATAATAATAATAATCCTTGCATTTGATATAGCGCTTTTCACGTCGGGAGGCCATCCCAAAGTGCTTCACAGAACACACTGTAAAGTGAATTGACTGTATATTTGTGGGCGAACACGGCAGCCAATTGCGCACAGCAAAGTCCCACAAACAGTCGGGGATTGAAAATGACCAATTTTTATTATTGTTTTTTTTTTGGAGGGATTATTATTAGGCTCTGTATGGAGTAAGGAAACTTGCCCAAGGTTTCGCCCTGACTGGAATTGAACTCAGGTCTCTCACTTGCAAAATGAGTGCTCTAACCACTGAGCTACAGTACTCCACACCTTGTGAATGGTAGAACTAGGGAGACCATTGAGGAGTGCATTTGAAAAATACAAAAATGACACAACTACATTGACTGTTACAGCATGGAAACAGGTCATATGACCCATTGAGATCATCATGTTTATACTCCATCTCTCCTAATCCCTGTATCTATAGCCCTCAATTCTCTTTTTCCTCATGTATTTCATTTTTATAAACATTCACATATTGACTTAATCTCACTATTGCATAAACATTTTCCTTTTGTTAAATTCTGTAGTAGTTCTATCTACTTTTGGTTGTCATGTTTGTTTCACAACAACACATCCTTTGCCTTTCAAGATATAAATTTCTCTTTGACCGTGCCTTCAGCTCCCCTCTCGACTCTCTACCTCCTCCTCGCTCCCTCCCTTCCCTCTCCTCACCCTGACCATTTCCCCACTGCTCGGGTCCTGACCTAACTGTACAGCGCCTTGGGACGTCCTCCCGACGTGAAAGACGCTCAATAAATGCAATCTTGTTGTTGTTGTAAATATGTTTTGCAATCCACTAAAGACTTTCTAGAATAGATTCTACTTCTTTTGGTCCCTTGATTCATTAACTGATAATTCCTCCCACCTTATTGACATCAACTATTGTTGCATCATTTCAAAGTAGGTTGTGTTAAAGTAGAAATCCATGGTTTATGATCTTCTACAGAATCTTTATGCCTGATACTAGATTTCAATCATACAGTTATTATTTCAAATATAGCACCAAGTGGGGAACCAATTCAGGTTTATTATCATTTGGCTTTTTAAGTATTAATAAATAAGTTAATAATATTCCTTACATCTCATATAGTGCCTTTCACATCAGGAGGAAATCTCAAAGCACTTTAGGTGATACAATATACTGTAAAAGGTAGCAATTGTGTATTTGTAGGCAAACGCAGCAAGTCACAGAGCTTAGTATTTCATACCCAATTCTTCAGTGATTAGAGTCGGGGCTTCTTGAGTGGGGAGGACAAAACCAGTATCCCGTTTATATTAACAAATTTAAAATATGCACTTCTCAAAATAACTTTATAATATTTAATGGGCACCAGCATATATTTTGACTACACCCCAAAGTCTTAAATTAAGTTGGAGTCGTAATACTTAAATGCTGGCACTTACGGTTTGAGCAGAGGAGTGAGCCGATCAAATTTTTTGTTACAGATCCCTCCACGGTGCAACTGCTGCCTGTGCAAATACCTAGTGTTTTATCCCTTTGTGAGTGTACTTTCACACTCACACAATACACATTCATACAGACGATACATTTTCATGTAAATTAGGTCTCCTTCAGACAACAAACAACATCCTTTAACAGTTCCTGCTACCTGTGGGGTGTAAATGACTGAAACAATACCATGCAAACACCAATGGCAACATTCTAACAGACATAAGTCTCCTTTCAAACGAGTTTCATGTCATGATGTCACCACCGCCAAAGGCAGCAATTTGCAAACAGAAATGTCGCATAAACAGCCAGGAAACAAATGACCAATTGTAAAGAGAATTGTTGGCCAGGACACCTGGGAGAAACCGCCCTTCTCTTTTTGAACAGTCCTGTGGGATGTTTAATATCCTCCCAAACAGGTAGATGGCAACTCATTTTAATCTCATCTGAAGGACAGAACCATGAATCAATTTTGTCATCATTATGGGTATATTTATCCAACTGAATATAATTGGTGGAAAATGCCAGCCCAACTGCTATACACTATGACCCCCCTAGTTTGTGGAGAGTTTAACATTGGAGCATTGGAACAACATCTTGGTCATGGAAAGGTGTGTTCTCCAGAACAGTTTTAATGTGCTGATTTTGTTCTGAAAAGGTTTTAAAGAAACTTAACATCAGAACTCCATTGTCATATAGTGGAGTAAATTCTTACTAACCTTTTGAATCCTCTTAGCTAATGTAATCACCCTGCTCAGGAAGTAACAAATAGGAAGGAAAGGGAAGAGCTAACACATTGCAAAAGCAAAGTGAAAATGTTGCCTTAACTTTTCTCAATGTAAGAGAAGAACTTTGCCATGATGTAGGGTATGTGATTCATCAGCCTTTTATTGGGTGACTTTTATAGGTGTAAAAATTCAGGAAGATGCAATTTCCTTTTCCAGAACATCGATCCTATCTTCCACTGGTTTGTACTGCACCACATTTCCCTCTTTATAAATTGTGCCATTAGTTAACAATACTGTCCAGCAATGTATAAACTCAGCCTATCCACTAAAGGATTTTAATCACCTCCATAGGGAATTCTGGGCAAGGCTCAGTTTGTGTGTAAGCCAGAAACAGCCAGCTTGGAAAATTCTGTTGCCATGTCACCAATTTGCATGCTGAGGTAAATGTGTGTTGTGCCAGAAATGTTGTCTGCCTGTTACAGTGAGAACATTAATAAAGTGTTTTTATTTTACATTTTCCACTTCTACTTTGGAAGCCATAAGGTCCAAAATACCAGAAGCAGTTAAAGCCATTTTAACTCTCTCAAGGGAACAATTCTTAAACCTAAAACAATGAGTATTTTAGGCCTCAGTTAACCACAAATACACATTTTCAGTAGCCCTCATTAATAGTCCATAATGGAAAACACAGTTAATTCTCACTCACAACTGCATATCTGCATTGAAT